TGGAAGTATTACTACTACTGTAATTTCACACCTGCTGTTGCAAAAGTAACTATCTCTGTTTACAAAAACAGCTCAAGTTATTTATGGATCAGAGTGACTTAGTATTTTTCAGTTATGTTTTGCATGTTTACAGCTTTCTAATAACCTGTTGTGGTTTAACCCCAGCCAGCAACTAAGGACCACACAGCTGCTTGCTAACTCCCCCATGGTGAGATGGGGGAGAGAATCAGAAGAGTAAAAGTGAGAAAACTTGTGGGCTGAGATAAAGATAGTGTAGTAAGTAAAGCAAAAGCTGCACACACAAGCAAAGCAAAACAAGGAATTCATTCACTACTTCCCATTGGCAGGCAGGTGTTCAGCTATCTACAGGAAAGCAGGGTTCCATCATGCATAATGGTTACTTGGGAAGACAAATGCCATCGCTCTGAATGTCCTGTCCCCCCCCCCCCCCGCTTCTTTTTTTTTTCCCTAGCTTTATATGCTGACCATGATGTCACATGGTGTGGAATATCCCTTTGGTCAGCTGGGGTCAGCTGTGCCAGCTGTGTCCCCTCGCAACTTCTTGTGCACCCCCAGCCTGCTCGCTGGTGGGGTGGGGTGAGAAGCAGAAAAGGCCTTGACTCTGTGTAAGCACTGCTCAGCAATAACTAAAACATCCCTCTATTATCAACAGTGTTTCCACCACAAATCCAAAACATAGCCCCATACTAGCTACTATGAAGAGAATTAACTGTATCCCAGCCAAAACCAGCGCCTAACCTTACTTGTGTTCTATAAGTTCTTTTAAACAAAAGTTACGATGTGAAGATTAAATATTTAAAGTTGTCAACCATATTGCTTGCCTTTAGTGCCCTGCAGTCTCTAAGTGTTATTTATCTTCAGTTCGTGTTTTGCTCTGAGGTTTTTGCTGACTGGCAGCTGACTAATCACTAAGGCTCCTTTCTGGATTTAAGACAGAAATCCAATTTAGAGATTGTATAAATATTTGTTTTCCTGGTGTCAGAGATGTACTATTAAAACAGCCATTGAAATCTGCTGACAGGAATTGAGGTGGAGTAGAGTTATACATACTTTTTTATTAGAGTTCATGGTGGTACTCCTGAAGTTCCATTTTGGGAAGGGTGTGTGTATTTATATACAATACATGGACATGTGTGCTAGATTTAGATCCCATATTCAAAACTCATTTGACAACCTCCTCTGTTTCTCTAAATTGTATTTAATAAAGCTAATAGAAAATAGTTATTTAAAATACTTAGCGTAGTGTTAATTGATGCCTAAGTTGCCTTCCTCCCCTGCCCCCCCTGAATTGTCCTCCTCTGCCTTTTTTCAATCATGGTCATAAGTATTACATACTAACAGTTGTTTCCCTCTAGTCAATTACTTGGTATTTCTCTTGCTTTTCTTTGCTTAAAATCTTCTTCAGTTTTAAAGGTTATTATTCTTCTCTTCTGTTTTATTTATTAATATTCTGTTTTCTTTGTAACCCTTTCTTTCTGCTTTACTGATGGAAAACCCAATAACTGTAATGTTCACTTAAAACGCTTCAACTCCAGGGTTCTGACATAGAGACGGTGACTTCAGAAAATGGAAGCACAAATGATAACCATGAGTTTGTTTCAGAAGAATATGTTTCTTTGCAAGAAGAGGAGCAACCAATTGATTTGCAAGGTAAGATATTAGAAGAGGAACAGTTTCATAAAATAGGTAAGTATTTGTTGTAGCACTGGCACAAAGTTAATTTTTTTAATAGAGCTTGTGTACTTTGTAGATCTCTGTCAAAGTACTTGCTTCATCAGTGTTATGGAAAATATTCAGTCATCAACTTTCTAAAAGTAATTTTTCCTAAATAGATGAAATGAGTAGAATGTCTTTCATCTTGTCAATACTTAGATGTGTTATAGAATAGTATGCATTGGTGTTGCTGGAAAATAGTTTATAGAAGTGCTGTTGATAAAACAAATTTACTGTATTCAACATTTCTTAATAATGTCATAGATTTGGAAGGAACCATCAATGCTTTTACACCTCAAAAATAACATTGTGGCACTGTGTTAGCATTTCTTGAATTGGAAGTGTAAGTCTGGTGCATAATAATATAGTGAGCATCCTTCCACTTATTTCAATTACTAAATATAATACTCAGTTTGTTAGTATTGGTGTGAGAACACAGATGTGACAGGTTCAGTGTGCAGTTGACTAAATTTGAGCTTGGCCATGTTTCCAAATTCATAACCTCTCCTCATAGAAACAGGACTAGACATTCAAACTCCAATGTCTGGAAAATATTTTCATTATCTTAGCATACAAATGTACTGTGATACCAACTTACAGTATAGTGTTGGCATTTATCTAACTGTTTTTTTCATTTATAGGTTACTTGCGTTGTGATCAGTATGAGCATTTGAATTTAAGTATCCTCCAAAACATTGCGTTACATAATGACAAATTGGATTCTGATGTTTGTTAGAGGGATATTAAAAATGAGATTTAGTGTCTTTTTAGAAAACCTTCCCTGATATGAGTGGATAATAGAAATCTCTCACAATTATACATATTTTAGTATTATATGGGAGTGGGCATAATTTGTGGAGTTACTGGTTTTGATCCCATGTTTTGTTTGATTTTTCCTCTTTTTATTTATATAGCTCAGTGCAACAACAATGGAGAGATACCAGTCGTAGATAATACTCTCTCTGCTTTTGAGGAAACTCGGACAGTTCCAGAGGTAAGTTACATTATGTTATTCAGAAGCTTCTGTAAGCCCCAGCTGACAATGCCAAGCAATGTTTTGAAGGCATTAAAATAAAGATACTGACTTTTCCTTTCTTTAAAGCATTAAGAATTCTTGCTATTTTTTAAAATTACTTTATATTGTGTGTATCTGAATAATTTTTACATTATCTGTTTCCCTAGGGAAA